TTTGAGTATACCAATGGCTAGATGATAAGTGATACCACGCCCTGTTGAAGACCTGCAAAGTGGTTCGAAACGTCGGCGTGACGAATAAAATACTATTTTAATGTATTCTCATTATCATATTATAATGACGGTCAACCATCTCTACACCATTATTTATTTTATTTAATGTTCTTTCAGTTTTGTTGTTTCTATAAATATTGCACATATTATTTTTTATTATTTATCTTACTATTTTATTTCTATTTGTTTCAGGTTTGTTTTGTTCAAGAGACATTATGAAAAATATCTCCACATATCTAAGAAGTACGAAGAGGCCCGAAACATCGCCTACTACCTGGAAGAAAAATACCACGAAATTAAGGTACGTCAGCTGTTTTATTATTTTGGTATATTAAAGTTTCACTGTTATTTTATTTGATATTTTATCAAGGAAGCAACACTGCAAAAGCCTGTATGGTCAATTTTTTTAGAAAATGAGGTTTTTCTGGTCAACCTAGCCTTGGCGCATATTCTGATTCCACAAAATGAAATCTACGATGTTTCATTTCTTCTCTATGGCATTTTGTAAAAACCTGTAACTTATAAACTAGCAAATGTGATGTAAAAAACTTACACTGAAGGTTATAGAGAATGTATCGGTGCCGAAAAAATGTAATAGTATATGATACAGTGCCTCTATTATCGAATTATTAACATCCACCTGAAACTTAGTGAATAGTTTCATCTCTTTGTAACCTACAAACATTTTATTTACGAAAACTCTTGTAATTGGGGCGTTTTCAATCTAGAGGTTGGCAAACTTTGTTCATTTAATTTTTTTTTGTTTTTTTTTATTAAAATTACTATTTATTTATTTATTTCGACATATAATATTCTGTCTCGAGGACATTAATTATTGTGTTAAATGAACACTTTCACACCATATATACAAAAAATATAAAATGTGTATTTAATTAGGTACAAAAAACTCATTTGCATTCCACTTGAATCGTAAGATAATGTGATCCCTAAATTGTGTGAAAAGGTGGCCCACAGAAATATTGGACCCTTTGGCGTGACCTACATCCCCAACATTTCAAAATAACGAGATTATATAGGCGAAACGACCCAATATTTTGTAAGCCACCTTTTTTCTCGATTATATGATCAAATTATCTTAAGATACACGTGAAAAGCAAATGGATATTTACGAGTTTTTAGTAATTAAATAGACTAAGTTTGCCGATCTTCAGACTGAAAACGCCCCAATTCTGAGAATTTTCGTAATTAAAATATTTGTAGGTTACGATGAAATGAAGCTATTTACGAACTTTCAGCCGTATGTTTATAATTTGATAAAAAGGGGTTTGTATAACGGACTATAACGAAATGCTCAATTAAAGGTGGTCATGTAAAAACAGAATTTATAAATCGTTTCGTGCATGGACAACAGTAGCCATTAGCTATATTAATAGGCTAAAATTATTTTTTCTTATACGTTTCATATTATTTTTTTAAATTTTAAATGAGTAGCGGGCACTTCCCTCCATGCGCTTCTCGGCAAATGCCGTTGTTCTCCGACACTGCTTACTATGGAACTAGACGAAGCAAAGAAGAGTAAGTGGGTATATAATATTGAACGACCTTATGGACGCTGCAAAATGAGATTGTCTGAAAAAAAAACTACAATGTCGCCGAATTACAGATGTTGAGGGACAGAGAATTGATTTCATTACAAAATTTAATAGGAGATGAAGAACTCTAGTTTCACCTTTTCAAAGCAATGAATTTTCGAAATCGCAAGAAGCACAGAAATTAAGTGATCTACTCATCAGCAGATTACCTAGAAATTATCAATAATTCATGAATCAAACCATCCACGCGTTCGCGTCCATGTTGAAGTTGAGTACGTTAAAAATGAAACTTTCATAGACTATTCCATAATGCACCACTCCTTTATAATGCATGCAATTCGTTCGAGTCGTTTCTACAGTGGCAGTCAAAAAAGTGATAACCCGTCTGATCAGATACTCGCTTTCCGACCAAAGTATCGTTTCTCTATATTTTGGAAACTGGATTTGTTCCTGCCATGATTTTATCAATATTAAAGGTGTTACTACAATAAATTTGATTACCTTTACCTAACTTATACCTGTTTTTCAAAGTAACTAAAAAGCTATTAGTTAGAAAAAATGGCTGTAAAAGGTTATTTGGCAGGAATACTATCAAAACAGTTACATAGAGCATTACATTTGTCTGAGGGCTGCAAAAAAAACCAAAAATATAACGCTCATTACCTATTACCTCATGATGGCCCACATGTTTGAGTTGAAACGTCGGCAGTAATAAAAACTCTATAACGACTGTTTCCTGAATATTTATCACACATGATATGTAGATTAGTCGACTAATTTCCTTACATAGAAATTTCAATATCGACCATCGATGCAAGGGTGTCCAGAAGTTTCATCGCAAGTAGCGCCATCAAAATTTTTGAGGGGGGTATATTTTTCGTTTTTTTTGAATTTTCGAGGGAAGCGAATTAGTATGGGGTTATGAATTTTTGGACTAAAGGACAAGGGAGAAATGTGGAACAGACTGCGTCATGTATAAATTGTATATGATCTGCGATTTTTCTAATTTTACCTTAGCTTGTTCTGTTTTTAAGAAAAGGCGTGCTATAAAATATCTTGGTAGGAGAGGGTGTAGATTTTTGCTCATATCGAACTTAGGGGGATGGGCACCCCTGTATCGATGGCCATCGCTATCCTGGTCTATCTCCTTAAGAATTCACGAACTTGTAACACGTTCATTTTCCTATTGTTGTTTAATACATTCTTTATCTTATGAAATTATGAGAAATTAATTGAAAAAATAAAAGATTAATGGAGTAGATAAACTTCCACTTTCACTGTTATAATGATGTACGCCGGCAATAAGGAACATCCTGCCTTGGAGATATATTATTGCTTCAACTACTGCACAGGTGTTGTTCCCTTCTTACCTGGTTCAGGCCTCATTATTCAACACTTTCCCTTTTTGTGCACTGATGTGATCAAGGCTGATCTCAATATATTAACGGATTTCTTTTTTTTGTTAACTAAAAAAAAAATTATATCATTACGAGTAGGAGAACGTTTTTCACGTTGTGTTCCTCATCCTTCCGTCCTTCTGTGGAATTGCCTTTGATATCAGGTGACTTAAACTGATCCTGTGGGTGTTGGAAAACTATCGATATATATATAGTAGGCAAGAGACCGCGTGGGAGGCCAAAAAACAGATGGATAGATAGGATAAACAAAGATACGGCTGAGCTTCATGCCGCAAACTGGAAAGCAGTAGTCCAAGATAGGCAGAGGTGGAGAAGGCTGGTTCAGGCGGCCAAGGATCTACAAGGTCAAAAATACAATGAGTTTTATTTCACCCTTAAAAACCGAAAGGAAATATTTGCCAACCTAATAATTGGCCAAATCGTCGGTCAAACTCTTTTAGTTTAAGTCTGGTGTGTAGCTACCATGATGGAGCCAACCGAAAAAACAATATATATATATATATATATATGAAGAGAAGAATAGTTGGGGTGTTCAGTCAAAAAGGAAGGCAAAAATAAATGATAATATTTATTTTTTACATATGCCGACGTTTCGACCTGAAGTTCAGGCCTTCATCAGGGCTAAGAAAATAACCAGATAACAAGGTATGAGAAACATAAGTAGTGATGGCAAAAAAAAAAAATAATAATAAAATAAATAAAAAATAAAATAAAATAAATAAATAAAAAATTATAAAAAATAAATAAATATACAATAAATTGAAATTGTTAGAATAATGACTAAAAACTAAGAGATAAATAATAATAACCGTTACAAAGTTTGGAATGATGAAGTAGGCATAATCAAAAAGGGTGACATAAGTGTTAAAATGGGAATTTTTGAATAAAATGTAAAACATAAAAAAGAAATATAAAGTTATATAAGAAATGAAAATAAATAGTAAAACTAATACATTGAGAATGGAGTAGTTAGATAGAAAATTGAGATATTGTAGAGTCTATCAAGATGTACAGACAATTTATAATATAATAAAGAGTTAAACACAGAGAAAAGGAATGAAAGGAAGGAGGGAAGAAATTGAGAAAGCTGAAATAAGAAATAAATAAAAGAACTTCAGGTCGAAACGTCGGCATATGTAAAAAATAAATATTATCATTTATTTTTGCCTTGCTTTTTGACTGAACACCCCAACTATTCTTCTCTTCATTATCCACGACAGTCAACCAATTACCAATTATATATATATATATATATATATATATATATATATATATATATATATATATATATATATATATATAGGTAATCAAAGTTAAGCAACGTCGAGAGTGGTTGGTTATTAATTGGGTAGGTGACCACCCGATTTGGGTGACCGTCCACCAGGGAAAGCCATGCTGCCCGAGCCTGCTCCTCCCCTCCCACCCGCCGGGCATTAGAGGCCCGTCACCCTACTGGAGGTAACTCACACCGAACGGACTGATGATTCTACCCCGTGTACTTAAATCGATAATCGGGATATGGTTTACTAGGATGTTAGTAGCCTCCGTGAGGCACAGGCAGATCTACGGGAGGCTTTCGGGCTGAAGCCCCCCCAAAATGGTAAAATGTAACCATGTTTTACAGAAAAAAATATCTCTTAAAGTATTCTTGTTCGTGTAATTATATTTAATAGGACTTCAAGAACCACTTAAGCACCATTTCATATAGGTAGTTAATTTCTTCCTTTTTTTTCAAATTAAATATAGTTATATATATATGACGAAAAAAAATGTTTCGGGCTGAAGCCAGCCAAAATTAAATCCTGGATCCGCTAGTGCCCTGAGGTTCGGTCCATGGACGGTCTGTTTCTGGGAAAGAAATTTATATACATACTGGTTCCCAACATTAAAGAAGTTTTAAATTAATTTTTGATTGATTTGTAGCGAGAAAGTAACGATTAATTTATTTTATGATACGTAGTATTATTTTATGTTAATATTAATTTATTATCTGATCAGTGAACAATATACTGTGCGAATTTTCGTATGGGCCTACTAGTTAATATATAAATAGATTGCTCAGGTAAAACGATTTTATTGAGTTTAGTCCGTCCATCATTCCTTAGTCAACATCTCGTAGTCCTGCTCCAGACCAAGCAGGTTGTCCTGGGCGATGTCGAACTCCTTCTCCTCCAGACCCTCGCCGGTGTAGTGGTGGAAGAAGGCCTTCCTGTCCTTCATCAAGTGGAACTTGATGTTGATGCTGGTCCAGGCCTCCCTGATGGCAGTGGTGTTCGAGAGCATGCAGACCGCTCTGTTGGTGTGGGCCAGGTCGCCGACCTCCACGTGCGCCGGGCAGGAGCTGTTGATGCCCACCTTGAACCCGGACGGCGACCATCCGACGAAGCGGACGGATCGCTTAGCCTTGACGGTGTGGATAGCCGCGTTCACGTCTTTGGGGGCGACGTCGCCGCGGTAGAGGAGTACGCAGGCCATGTACCTCCCGCTCTCGGTGATGCACTTCACCATCCGGTTGGAAGTTTCGAAGCACCTGCAACATAAGTGTAGGGTACTGTTTGAGTACATTCGTTTTGACTAATTATAGAAACTGCCAAACTTAAGAAGATTGGTTGGGTTGGCAAATAAGTCCTTTCGGTTTATCTGTTTATTTTCATGTCACTATGATGTCACTTCTTATTTGATGAATTGATCCCTGAGGTGGGTTGTTTATCCTGTTTGTAATATGTCAACAAGTATATCTGTTGAAACAAGCTTACTATTGTGCTTGCTATTGCACTGTGAATATGGAAGAAAATGCCATTCATTATCGGCATATTTTGTTGTATTTTTTAAAAAAAGATAAGCGTGCTGCAGAAGCTCATAGAAAAAATTGCAGTGTTTATGGGGATGATGCCTTAACCGAACGCACCTTGTCGCTCACATGAAATTAAAACGAGCAATGTTAAGGCCATTGTTGATCAAAATCCCACCCGATCAGGGCGAGAGATTGCTATGGCCCTAAATGTGTCGCTCACTCACTAACCGAAATCAACTTGGCAACACGCATTTTGTTTGTGTTGTGATTCACTACGAAAATGGCAACATAACGACCCTTTTTTTGAAAAGGTTGGTAATTAATAGGAGATAAAAAATGGATTTTTTACGATAACGTAGTCGATAGAACATTTTGGGGACTTAATTGTGAGGCTCCATGAAGAATGTCAAAACCCGGATTGCACCCAAAGAAATTGCTTTCCATATGGTGAGATTTCAAGGGTGTTATTTTCATCAGTATGACTATACTGCTCACATTTAACAAAATTGGATCAATCAATTAAAAATAATCGTCCATAATTGGCAAATCGGAAGGGTGTTATGTTCCACCAAGACAACGCTAGGACCCGCATCTCCTGGGTCGTTCGCAATTAATTATAGAGCCATAGATGGGACATTTTGCTCCACCCTCCCCTATTCACCAAATGTAGTTCCTAGTAACTACCACTTTGATCAGTTTTTTAACAATAAACTTCAGGCATTCTGTGAACATGGCATTACGCAGTTAGTGGAAAAATGGGAAAAACTCATATTAAATAATGGTCAATATATTGTAGATTAAAATGAATTTTATTTCTATAATACAATGAGTTTATTGTTAAGGACTCTGTTAAGAGCAGCAGGGCAAATCAGGCTATAAGTCAATGAAGAAAAGACAAAATATATGTTAGTAAGCCGAAATATCCACCTAGATATCATGATCTGCGTGGACTCTAAGTCATATCTGAAAGTAGATAGATTCAAATACCTTGGTTCCACAATAACCTCCATAAATTATTAATTAACGGAGCTGGATCAGGGAATAACAAGTGCGAACAAAGTTTCTTTCTCTCTTTCAAGGATACTGAAATCCAGAAAAATCTCAAGAAATAAGGCCAGTTCTTTTGTACGGCTCTGAAACCTTGGCTCTAACTGGCACCCTAGAAGGCAGAATTAGAGAGATCCGAAAGGAAAGTCCTCCGTACGGTAACAGGAGCTATGTGGGATCAGAACCTTAACACATGGCGGAGGAGGAACAATAAAGAATTGCTAAAAGAAACTGGTCAATTAATATCTCATGATATGAAGGAAAGGAGGTTAAGATGGGAGGGGCATGTAGCTCGAAGCAATCCATCAGGACGTATTTACACAGCAATGGATCCCAGCCAGAGTAGCAGGCAGGAGACCACGTGGGAGGCCAAAAACCAGATGGGTAGGTAGGAAGAACAAAGATACGGCTGAGCTTCATGCCGCAAACTGGAAAGCAGTAGCCCAAGATAGCCAGAGGTGGAGAAGGCTGGTTCAGGCGGCCAAAGATCTACAAGGTCAAAAATACAATGAGTTTTATTTCACTCTTAAAGACCGAAAGGACTTGTTTGCTAACCCAGTAATTGGCCTAATCGTCGGTAAAACTCTTTTATTTTAAGTCTGGTGTCTGGCTTCCATGTTAGTCTTCTGTTTAGGAGACCTGAATAGGAAAATAAAAATATGTCTGAATAGGAAAATGGTATAGAATTATAAAGGAGTAGATAGTTTCACTGTTCCTGAATTGTTCTATTCTACCAAAAATAATGAGTAATAACATGCGTACCTGTTTGTTATTTCTGAGACTGATAGGTTCCCGTGGTCAGCGTACTTGTTGGCCAGGATGGGAGCGTAGCTGACGACGGGGAAGTGTATCCTCGGGTAGGGGACCAGGTTGGTCTGGAAGTCGGTGAAGTCGGCGTTGAGGGAGCCCATGAAGCGAAGGCTGGCGGTCATCGAGGATACTGCCTGCGCGAGCAATCTGTTCAGGCTGGAGTACGTCGGGCTGTCTATGTCCAAGTGGGCGTGGCATATGTTGTACATCGCCTCGTTGTCCGCCAATAGGACGCAGTCCGTCAGCTGCAACGTCATGTGGGTCGAGAGCACTGCGTTGTAGGGCTCCACCACTGCCGTCGCCATCTGCAGGGAAATAAACACAACTTTATCAATATGAGAAGTTCTAACGGATGTCTATGTCCGTGAATTGAATTGAGCTTTTGTTGAGTATAATGATAGAACGATATGTAGAGTTGTTTGTTAAAGATTCCAAAGAATGGTCGAGGACATGATATCTCGTATCAAGAATAGCGTTGCCCAAAATCAATCTTGGTCTTGCACTTCGAATTTTGCAAGACCACGGCCAAGGCCACCTAACTGTTGCAAGACCAAGACTGGTAAAAAAAATCGATTTTTTAAATAAAAATTATTACAAAATACTTGACAATTAGTTCCTGATACTTGACGGTCTTAGTTACTATATATTAATAATTGGTATAACCAATATACTTTTGCATTTAACTCCTCTAATTTTTCATTCGGTTTCGGTATGGTGGGGCGTTTACTTTGATGGCACCACACAGCTCAATTTTTGTGAAAAAGGAGTTAAAACAGTCGATATATTGGAACCTATTGTCAAGCCTCTAAATGATACTCTGTTTGCTGGAAGTTATTGGGTTTTTTTATTGGGGAATACCAGCAGGATTCCGCTTCAGCTCACAAGGCTAGGTGTACTCAGTATGTAAAAGAACATTCCAGAGTTCATCTCTGCCTCGGATTGGCCCTCAGGAAGCCCTGATCTCAACCCACTAGATTATCGGCTTTGGTCCGAACTGGAGAGGATGGCATGCCACAGAGCACACCCTAACTTGGAAAGCCTCAAACAATCTCTGGTCCGAGCAGTTGAGCTCTTGAGGCAAAAGGGGGACGTTTTGAAAGTTTTTTTTGTTTTACTCTCTATAGATATATATTTTATTTTCTAATAAATTTTTTGAAAAAAATAATTTTTCTGTTGAAATGGGTATATATTTTCAAGTAAAAATATTTATGACAGGACTAGGTTTATTTATTCATGATTTGTCCAACTACTTAGATAGCAGTTTCGTTTGATGATTTAATGGTTGTCGTTGGACCGCAAGTAGCTTAATTTCTGATGGAAATTAGTGAACAGAAATGATACAAGGGAATCTGTCTCTGAATATAATCATTTCGGAACTCATGTGAACTCTGTAAATACCATATTTCCACAAATTAGGCTGAGGGTTGTTGCTGTGGTATTTTGTAAAACTCTTAATAGACCTGACCGTTTCTAAAACAAAAATAAAAAAAAAGGACAGGAACAGGATGTTAAGTTTCATCTACGAAAAGCAGAAATTTTTAATGATGTTAATATTATCATTAATCAATTAAACTAGTAGTCTGTGGTACAGACCCCTTTTATCAAATTATTAACATCCGGCTAAAACTTCGTAAAAATCTTTATCTCATCATAACCTATAAACATTTTATTTACGATAATTCTCGGGATTGGGCTTCTTCAATCTGGAGGTCGGCAAACTTTGCCTATTTAATTAGGTAATAAAAACTCGTAAATACCCATTTGCTTTCCATTTGAATAGTAAAATAACTTGAGCAAAAAGTAGGGTAAAGAAGTGGCCTTGAAAAATATTGAGCCGTTTGGCGTGACCTATACCCCCGAACGCCAAAATAACGAGATTAAATCGGCTAACCGGTCCAATATTTTTGTAAGCCACCTTTTTTTATCTATTATGTGATCAAATTATCTTACGATTCAAATGAAAAGCAAATGTGTATTTCAGAGTTTTTAGTACCTAATTCAGTAGACAAAGTTTTCAGACCTCCAGATTGAAAACATCTATATTCTAAGCATTTTCTTAAATACAATATTTGTAGGTTACAATGAAATGAAGCCATTTACGAAGTTTCAGCCGGATGTTAAAAATTTAATAAAAAGGGTTGAGGTAATTTCTCCGGCAAGTGATTCTTCTGATTATTTTTGCCGAACCCTAACGGCTACCTCGTGGTTGCCACCGCTTACTAGCCAAAGTGGAAGTGTCAAGATTCTTTTCTCGGGACCAATGAAAGATAAATATTAACCTACACTGTTGGGAATAGTGTTGCCTAAATGCGAGACCATGACGAGTCTTGGTCTTGGACTCGGTCTCGCGCAAGATATTGTTGACAGTTTTCAGATAGGAGAAACCCAACTAAGCCAGAATGAAAAAACATGGGTTAAATGCTAAAGTATATTGGTTGTACTAATTCTTTACATTTAGCGACTAAAATTGTCATGTATTAGTAGCTATTTTGCCTTAATTTTTATTTAAGAAATCGTTTTTTTTTTTAAGTTTTTTTTAACAAAGCTTGGTATTGGTCTTACAATAGTTAGGCGGTATTCGTCTTGCAATGTGCCGATTTTGGGCAATACTATGTGGGAAATGAATCCTCCACTTTCAGAATGGGATAGAACTCTCGCATCTACGTGCTGGACCATTACGTCTTCGAAGAAAATATAAACTAAAGAACTATAATCTAACATATGTCTATTATAGGCCATAGGTCACCAAAAAAACACAGTTTTTCATGGGGGGAGGCATGCGTGTTTTGCAGCATTTTTACATTATTTATTGACCACGTCCACTGCACTTTATGTATTTGTATGTATGTTATGAATTAGGTCTGGAAAAGAGAGGAGAAAAATGTATAGAGTGAGAGAAGGAACAGAAAGGGATGTATAGTGCTAATAAGTGAATTAAAGAAATTGTAAAAATAAAATAAATAAATAAAATAAAATAAAAAGGGAAAAAAAAAAAAATAAAAATGTAGGAAAAAAAATTATGATAAAAAAAAGAATATATATATATATATAGATAAAAAAAAAAAAAAAAAAAAAAATTGTATATTATGCTCATATATGTTGTTAATACTATATAATTGTATATTAGTTTTGGAAAATTGTCTGTAGCGATTAATAAGTATGCTGTGTTTAAAGCAACCCAATGTAATTGGGCAGCACCCTTTTATGATAATAAAGTGATTCTCTCTACATGTATGTTTATTCAACGTTTCGGCTTCAGGAGCCATTTTCAAGAACCTGCAAACTTGCACCGCGCCATAATTTTTTTTAAAAATTTGTCATTACGATATGACTCGTCCTTGATGATTCATCTTTGATGATTCATCTTTTATTTCAAAGAACGTCGTTTTCCGTTTCTCTATTTGCAGACGGTATCAAGAAATTATTGTTCTTCAATAGGGCATTCATACAGGACTCTTCATACAGGACTCTCGTGTGAATGCCCTATTGAAGAACAATAATTTCTTGATACCGTCTGCAAATAGGGAAACGGAAAACGACGTTCTTTGAAATAAAAGAATGAATTAGGACGAGTCATATCGTAATGACAAATTTTTAAAAAAAATTATGGCGCGGTGCAAGTTTGCAGGTTCTTGAAAATGGCTCCTGAAGCCGAAACGTTGAATAAACATACATGTAATATATAAAAAAAACTGTGTTTTTTTGGTGACCTATGGCCTATAATAGACATATGTTAGATTATGAGAAAATGTCACCAAATCCGAAGGATGGGACTAGAAAATTAAAGAACTATACTATCCTGGTAGTTGATCCCGTCCAAAACGGCTACGGTCAGGTTCAAGCGGATCGTAGTACTTACCGTAGGCGACGGGAATATCGCGATCTCGATCTTGCTCTTCTTGCCGTAATCGTGCTCTAAACTTTCCACGATGAGGGCGTTGAAACCGGACCCGGATCCTCCGCCGAAGGAATGGAAGAGGAAGAACCCCTGAAGTTTGTCGCAGGCTTCCGCCTGCCTCCTTAGGGCATCCATCAACTTCGGAACCATCTTCCGGCCCGTCGTGTAGTATCCTCGCGCGAAGTTGTTCGCAGCGTCTTCCGTCCCGGCCAGGAGCATGTTGGGCATGTAGAGCTGCTTATGTTTGCCGGTTCGCACGACATCTGAAAGGTGAATAGCCCGTGAGTGATTTCAGTGGCGTGGTCGAAACTTCTATCAGTTATAAACACTATTATGTTCTTTAAAACTTGAAAAAGGCAAACAGTTGAAAACATTTTTGAACTACTGTTAAAAGACTTATAATGACAAAGTATCGTAATTTTAAACTATAAGAGCAGCACTTGAAAAAAAAAAAAATATGGCAAAACATTTATAACAAATTTGTTTGAAAAAGGAAAAATTCCTAAGCTCAGCGCTGAGCTCATCGATAGCACCGGATCCATCTTTACGCTAAGCGAAATGATCTCATCAATAACATCATCGTTGAGAGTTTAGGAACTTATCCAAAATCACAACCACCAGATTAATACAAGAAAGTTAAAATATTATTATTATTTTTTTTAATTTATTTATTTAGACATATAATATTCTGTCACGGGGACAATAATTATATTGATAAATGAACACATTCACACCGTATATACAAAAAAAAAAAAAAAAATTAACAAAAGTAAAATAATAACTAAATAATAATAAATAAAAACTATCTACAATGAAAAAATAAAATAACCTAAATATAAGTAAATTAAAAACATAAAAATACAGTCATACCTATATACAATATATACAATCAGGCGGGGAACCCAAATCCCTGCCCCACTCTCTCAACCGTCTCACTGGTGCTAAAGCCAGTGGAGTTTGAGCGAGAGCGCTTTAGCCACATACACTCATGTCATGAGTGGAGAATCTGGCCATTGCCAGAACTCCAAAATAAATACTATAAAAGATCTCTGGGCCAGTGCCGCTTCAACCTTAAAGGAGGGTTGTAGGGATGAGTGGAACTAGACAGGAATTGTTCTAGGGGATTTGGATGATTGATAAGGTTCTGATGGAATTTTGAAAAATTTTCAGAGATAAGGTCAAGGACAAATAGGATATTAAGTTTAGTAAGGTCGTGATGTAGGGTTTTGTAAATATTATGAAAAAAAAAGTGTTCTATGCCTAAAAAATAGTTTTCAGTTTTAATTAGTTAAAATTAAGATAGTTTAAGATTAAGCATTCGGCTTATACGAATAAATTAAAAGGTTATCAATTTCAAGCTGGAACAATGCCAAACTTTGTACATAAAACGGTTGATTCATTTCCAGACCTGTTGTTAAACGAATTGAATCCGTTTTGAAACGAATAAGACTGTTATCAAACGAATAGGTCTTACACCACGAATCGTTGCGTTGTTCGATGAACTATTATTTTTTTCAATAGTTCTTAAGAACTGTTGTTTTTGTCAAGGAACAGTTCTTAAGAACTGTTGTTCTTTGTCAACTAACAGTTCTTAAGAACTGTTGTTATTTGTCAAGGAACAGTTCATTTACGTTTTTCAAAAGTATCAGAAACGCCAATCTCTAGAAGTGTCCAAGACAGGTTTTCTAAACAGGTGGGGTGGAGGAGGGAGAGAGAATTTGCTGTTGACACTAAACCATTAGTCCAGTCAATGAATGCTCGAAAAGGGATTATAGAAAGTCACTTTTTTTCGGGTTTTCGCTTATATCAGGAAAACTATCCATCGCATTGACAAAGACGTTCTATACAAAATTAAAGCTGATAAAATTTGCAATATGATTGATTATATATCTTTTTTCGCTATCTCGCTTAGTTTTCGAGATATCCGTCCTCAGCTATCGCTAATAAGGAAAAACATTTTTTTTACTGTATTTAACTAGCTAATATTTATTTATTGTATTTAACTGTATCATGTTCTAATCGAGCGATTCCAAAAAAGACGGAGACACTCAATAAAGTTAGAATCTGTAATAATCTGTCGGAAAAATTTGATGTTCGTTCGGGTTTAAAACAGGGGGATTCTCTTTCGCCTGTTCTGTTCGATTTGGCATTATAGAGGTAATGCGTACCGAGAAAGTGTTGGATCTGGGTGGGACAACATCCGTGCTGGGCTATGCGGATGATCTGGTACTGTTAAGCGAAGACGTTGAAACTATAAAACTAAATACGACAACGTTAATGAAAGCCGGTAAAGAACTAGGACTCGAAATAAACGTGGATAAAACAAAATATATGGTTAGCTGCAAAAATGGCGATACTACTGGTGATATCGATATAGATGGTAATATGTTTGAACAGGTAGAGAAATTTAGGTATCTAGGTTCTACGATAACTAGAAAAAACGAAATTGAAGAAGAGATTAAGGTTAGACTGAAGACTGAATTTTTCTATAACAAAACTACTTAGCTCGCGCCTCTTGTCCCGCAACTTAAAAATTAGAATCTATAAAACAATTATCCTACCTACACTACGGGGATGGATGCGAAACTTGGCCGCTTACATTAAGGGATGAGTAGCGTCTTAAGGTTTTTGAAAATAAAGTATTGCGTAGAATATTCGGACCGAAGAAGGATGAGTTAACCGGAGAGTTCAGACGGTTACACAACGCCGAATTGCGTGAAATGTATGCGGATAATATAATTGAGGTAATTTCATCGCGGCGAATCAAATGGGCTTGTAAAGTTGTTGGACTTAGTAACGAGAGAATTCCTAAAAGGTTAATATTTGCTGTGCCGAAAGGTAAGCGTCCGAGGGGTAGACCGAAGCGAAGGTGGGAAGATTGCATTAAAGCCGATCTGAAGGGACTGGGTTTGGACGGCGAACGGTGGAGGGAGGTTTGTAATAAGCGATTGGTGGTGTCGGCATCGAACCTTCGGGTTCGCTAAGCCTTTTATTATTTAACTAGCTAACTTTTCATTGTTTTGTTTTACGATTAAATCACGGGGAAGAAAGTTTTTAGTGATTAAATTTTCTTGAAGAATATACATTATTTTATTAGTTTATCTCCAACGGTTCAAAAGTTGAGATAAGTTATATCTTTGTATATCGATTCTGAGAGTTTGTTGAAATTTTTTTTTTTATAATATTCGTTATTTTTATATTGCTCTATCTCTCTATATATCTAAATCTCTATGTAAATATATACATATACATACGTACAATAACGTTTATTATAAAATTTATAGGAAATTTTACGCATTTTTACGGTTTTCTCGATAAAGATTTTGATTAAATTCATTATGTCAGTGTAAAATTAAGCAGTTTTAAATAAAATGTTGGTTTTATTCTGATTAATGTTTTTTAACCGGGCTTAAATGGTCAATTTTTAATATTAGCTTCCTGTAAAATATCTTTTTTTTTTTTAATTTGAAGCAATTTACCATTTCATATTGATTTCTAATACAAAAGATAGTTAAATATAAACTATGAAAGAATTTTATATAATTAACTAAAGGAGAAATAAAAGATAGTAATGGAGAATAGTTGTAATTGAGGAAACAAAGGAATACGAGACCGCCCGAAAGATTAGAACAGACTTACATAGGTGATATGGGTTTAATATAATACGGACTTCGACAATATTATGTAAATATACATTTGCGGTTTTCATATATGCTATTGTTGTTATTATTTAGTATTTAATAGTATATATTACAGCGATATAAATAATAAAATTTGTATATATAAGGGCACATGTACAAATAAAAATACCCACCATGAAATATAAATAAATATAGCGTCTATAATTTTTACTTTCACTTTGTCTGAAAATAGTTATTTCTGCTAAGAGGGTGGTAAGTGAAAGTTATGTAATACGCGCACCGCACCAGTTTTTTACTATTAAGAATATTAGTAATAGTGATACATGAGTTCATTCACATCATATGTACAATAAATAAATATAAATTAAATAGAATAAATAAATAATAATAATTTTAGAAATAAATATATAGATATATAAACAACAGATACTCTTAAAAATAATCCATATAACTCTACTTGAATACAGACATGTGGAGGGAAAAGCAAGACTCTAAGAGATCTCAGTGTCTCTAAGAGTGAAACTTAAATTTTTTATTTGATTTATATTTTATAGAAGTAGTTATATCGAGTACTAATTGATGAATTGGAAATCACTGTAAATTATGTTTCATGGAGTTCGAAAAGATAATATTAGTGTATGAGGATTTCACTCACTAAATCATAACAAGTCTAAAGCAAGATGTCCTTACATTCATGTCGATCATAGTGGCCTTGGAGCAATGCTACAATCTAAGCAGGGTTATTGTAGTTTATAATTGAAGTAATATTCTGAAGGTTTATAATACGTATATTGACGTTGGTCTGTTCTGCAATGGCAACAGATTGCTTATCACCTGTTGTTGAGGTATCACTTGTTGTAATAGCGTGATGGCAGATCCTTCGATATTTGACCATCGATGCCATTTCAAACAATTTATTGTAGTTAAATGTATGTATGTATTTATATATATACACAGTGTTTGTATATACACAAATATATACACAAAGTGCCCCGTAAGTAGAAGGAAATATTTAAAAGGACATCAAGATCTATAAAAAAGTTCATATAAACAATTGCCCGGTTTTTCCGGCAGAAATGTAGGAAATTTAAGATTTGTGTTTTTGTAAGCGAGTTACGTTTTTTGTTGAATAAAAAGCGATAAATTAAAAAAAAAATTTGATTAAAGTAATTAACGATTGCTTCGCTGTAAACTAGATAAAATTTACTTCAAACGAAAGAAGAGTTTGTCGTTGTTAAAACTATTTAATTAGGACTATTGGGCGGCTAAACATAGCTATTCATAAATTATTTGTGATTTTTTTTTTTTATCACACTTTCAACTGTACTACATTTATCCCACTTTTAGAAAATGGCCTCGCGTGATCTTCTTACCTAGAATTAAATAGGGAGTGCTACCATTGGGCAGTATCTGTTCAAGTCTGTTCATGTCATTATTTCTAATGTGTGTTGTATTTTTACTGGTTGTATTTTTTATACAGTTGTAAATTTCATTAAATAAATAACAATAAAAAAAAATTACTTATTCATATTCAGTAATCTATATTTATTTCAGTTTTTAAAATAAAAAATTCACTAGGCACTTTTATTTTTCATGTTTTTTAATTACTTCTAAAAATTGTA